GAGTTGAGCAGCAATATAGTTGAGGGCCCCGCAACTGTTAGACATCGGATTCTAATGAACCCCATTTTGGGTGGACGGTGCTTTTAATCAAATATAAAAAAATTTCTATTGGGAGTAAAAAATATAAGAAATAATGGAAGTTGAAAAGAGGAAAGAAATATAATACAAAGGGCTGACCTCGTCATTATCGTCGTCAACTTCAAGACGATATAACCGATGCGATATGGCTGGATGACGTCCGCCAGGCGAGAATGTGACCGCAAAATGAAGTGACGATTCGTCGAAACTTACCGATCTCATTTTGTCAAATTGATCTACAAAAAACTCCACAAAATTTTTTAACTGCGTAACAAAGTCACTAACCATCAGCATTGTTCAATAGCGGGAAAACTCTTTCATTTCTGAACGCTATCAACTTCTTAAATGAAGCAACCAGCAATGTTGAAGATGATGGATCGAAGCTATAAACACTCTTATAGTAAGGAATCGCAAGAATACGCAAAACCAAACGTACCCGGTGAATATTATAGGCAAATGACCGACGCCTTGTGTATAGTCACGTATCGGCTCAGTAGAATCCGAATCGACCGCGTATTCAAAAACTCGACCATCTCCAAGTCCCAAAGCTACCTGATAAAAAGATGATAAAGCTTGCACAGAGAATCAGTTTGGAAAAAAAACATCTAACCCTGTTGGCTGACGTCCAACAGCCAGTCCATACTGGCTTTTCATTTGGCATCTTCCACTGTCTGCGGACGGCGCCATTCATGGAAACCAAAGCGCGTTTATCTTCACCGCCTAACAATAGAAAATTCATCCGTGCTAACGAAAAACAACAGTGATGTGTTAGAACCAACCTGATAGAAGGAGACTCGATTCGAAAGGCGAAAACACAACTACTCTTGACCTCCCGCTGTGTAGAGGATAGCACTCACGGAGTTTGAACTCTTGTCGACTCTTCAAAAATATGGTAAACAGGGTGATCGCGAGATGAAAGCGGAAAAAATTATTCAAGAGGTTTGACTTACTATAGTGAGCATCCTAATGCCATAAGGACTGAAAATGTTACGGACTTGTGAGCATGCAACTCCTACCGCCCAGACTTCTCCATTGAAATCCATGGCGCGAGCATCTAAACGCGCTCATTTGAACAAAATGTAAGCCAAAGTGGATATTTGTAAACGCTAGCTCACCTGCATTTGATGATCCATTTACTAAAGATTCTTTCCGCTCTGGATTCATGAACATTCGCCCACCTCTTGGCTGCACTATCAGCTGAGGCGTAGCGCTTATGATGTCACTGAATATGAGTAAAATATATGAAAGGAGATGCGAAATGTGAACGAGAACTCACTGTGGTATTCCCTCTTGCAATTTCTTTCTCAATTCAGTAAGTTCTCGATCTTTCCGAGCTAGTTCGACTTCGAGACCAGAGATTTTGATGTGTAAAGCAGCATTTGAATTTTTCAACATCTCCACTTCAGTGGTATCGGTGACCTAGAGAGGGAACATTCAAAAAATGTGAAGAAAGAGTAAAGAACAGCCAGGAAAAAGAATTTAAATGACAGAAACTCACCTTCACTGCATTAGTATAGTGTTTTCTGACATCTTTGATAGTAGTTTTAGTCTTGCAAGTAGGACATACGGCGTTTCGACCTGGAATATGCGTGTTAAACGCCTCCATACAGGATTTTCGACCTCGTCAATAGATATTCTTTAGCGTGGATTAAAATACCATCTGCGCGATATCACTTGATCAGTTAACTAAGGCACATACTACTTGATCCACTTGATCTGCCTAATCCACTTCAATATTGCTCAAATCAGCGTCTAACCTATAGCAAAGTGATTGAAGTGGATCAAGGGGACAGCTTCGCTATTGGTCAGGTTAGTAATTTGACCAATAGCGAGATGGATGAAGTGGATTAAGGACAGTAGATAGGCAAAATGGATCCTTCTCGCAATCAGATTTTGGCGGAGATAGGCAGCAGACCCCCAAGTACACCGTAGCTCAAACCCC